GTGGGAAGGCCCAGTGGGAGGCTGGAGTAAGGAAGAAAAATAGTTGAGGTTTTATGCTCCCGATAGTTCTCCTGGGCTGACTGATTCCCTGACTGCAGACCACAGCCCCTGTCCATAGAGCTGACCACTTCCTCCCTGTGCACTTCGGCCTGGGCCATAACTGCTCCCAGGGGCTGCTAGGCCCGGCGCTGTACTCTCCTCTGTGCATCTGCTACCCGCTACGGCCTGACAGTGCACCCTGGGCTGGGCCAGAGAGAGGAGACCAAGCACTACCACCAACAGCCCTCGGGCCTGCTCTAATCACAGGATGCATGGAGCAGGCGATTACAGGGCAGTTCGCAGGGATGCAGGCCGCCACTGTCTGAGCCTGAGCTTGGGCCTGACCCCACACGTGGAGTAGGATCTTTGCCAGTGACGAGAGGGGCAGGGCAGAGTTCAGTTCCTAACGAGGAAGACCGTGGACAGTGTCTGAGGGCTCACTATGCGGCAGGCACTGAGCTTTACACACCAAGCTCTGCATTTGCTTCTCAGAACAACCCAAGGAAGTGCATCCCACGTATGCATTTTACAGGAGAAAAGACTGGTGCTAAAAAAGCTGAAAGGACTCGCCCAGGGTCAGGTTGCCAGAAAGAGACAAAGTCCAGACTCAAACACGAGTTTTTCTGCCTCCAAAGCCCATCCCGGTAACCACCTTGAATTAGTTTTTGCGAACTAGCTTCCAACAAAGGTAGCTCATTTAATTGGGGTCAATTATTGGTGAGGGCCAGACAGAGGCCTCCAGTGTCTCCCAGCCCCCTCCCCTCGATGAAAAAGAAACCCTCTGACATTCTTCCAGGTGGGGATAGGGGGGTTGGGGGGCCCCAAGCGGGCGGTGCAGTTGGGTGTCCAATTGGAAAAACAAGCAGATTCAGACAAGGCTTCATTGTTAAGGAGAGCCTGACTCTTTGGCCATTAAAACAAAACCAAGCAAAACAAAATGCTTGCTGTCTTGTCTTATCTCTTAGAGGGAAGGGGGACAGGAGGAAAGGGCCTCGAGACTGGGTGTTGCTCCCTACCTCCCCCCCCCCCCCCCACCACCACCACCAGCAGCATCTCTGAGACTCCAGGCTCAGTGGCTAGGGCAGGAGGAAGAGCCCTGCAGGGGGAGTCCAGGGGCTGAGCGCTGCCGGCTCTGCCAGTCTCTGCCTTCTAGTGCACAGTGCGAACCCTCAGGCACCGCGCTAGTGCTTCTGTGTGTGGCCTTGTTCGGTCACTGCGGCCCTCTCAGGAAGGGATTATTGTTACTCCTATTTCCAGATGAGGACACCGAGGCTCCAAGAAGACACCCAAGCAAAGAGCAGAGGGGTGTTGGGACCCAAGTGTATAGGATTGTAAAGTCTTCCCACCGCCCCGTTTCCCCAGGCAGGGGGGTCTCCGGGAACGCACAGCCACGGAGGAGGGAGCAGCTGAAAGCAATGAGCTCCTTGTCACGGGATGGGCAGGTCCCATGAGGGAAGCTGCGGAGGCATGCAGTGCGGCCAGTGGTTCTCATTCCTGACAGCCCACTGACCTCACCTGGGGCACTTTACAAAACGACTGCTGCCCGGGTCTTGCCCTGGACTGTGGGGTGGGGCCCAGGAAGGACTTTTAAAGTTTCCAACATGATTCTAATGTGTGTGGCAAACTCCGAGAGCCATGGGCACAGGTGCCCACTGAAGCCTCTCTCATCCCACAAGTGCCCCACCCCACACTCTTGAAGGAGAAAAGGACTTTCCTACACTGACTCCATGTTACAGGACGGGCAAAAAACAGGCACAATAGAAGGGCTGAGGTCATGTCCTCAAGGCCCACAGTCAGGGACCCTGACTTCAGGGTGCCTCTGGGGTGACCTCCTTTAAGATACTTGGGGTGGGGGGGGGGCCCTGGCTCCCTGGTCAGTAGAAGAAAACTTTCCTTTGAGCCTCCTGGGTGGGAGCGTGAGAGGAATTCTTCATGACATTTAAAAAAAAATAGAGTCCTCTCATTCAAAGCTAAACAGCTGCAGGACTAAGGCTGGGAGACCACCTCTGCCGGTGGGTGTGCCCAGGGAGCAAGGCCTGTTTATTCTGTTCTGTAGATCTGGTCTCAGATCTCGGCCCACACTTCCTCCCAAATTGCTTTCTTGCCTTCCTTATGCCCTCAAACAGAATGTCACAGATGGCGAGACAGCGTGAGTGAGGCGGTGGGAAAGGGAGGCCTGTGGAGACCAGCAGACCTAGGACTTCCCAAGCTCTACTCTAGATGGCTACCCTGAGACAGAAACCATTCACTTCTGAGCTCATTCCTAGTGCTGGCCTCACAGCAGTGCCAGGGCGCGTGCATGTGCTTGTGTGCACATGTGTGTGTTCAATGACACTTTCAAACTCAGCACTGGGAGCACCACCACCCAGAAGCCTGTCCCGACGTCCTCCATCCAGCACTAGACACAACCCCAGCCCAGGGCCGTCCCTGCCACATTCTGTGTTGTCTTTGTTTCTGTGTCCTTCTCTGCTGATCAGGCCATCCTTTCTTTCCCTGCACAGAGCAGCGGCCCTTTACCTGGGATTCATTCCATACCCATTCCCAAGCACCTGTCCTCTTTCAGGCACTCTGCTAGGTGCCAGAGATACAGCCAATGACAGCTAACATGCACTGAGTACTTAATAAGTGCTGCGTATTTTTCTGAGCACTTTACATGTATAATCCATTTAATGCTGAACACAGCCTTATGAAACAGGTGCTCTAATCGTCCCATTTTACAGATGGGGAAACTGAGGGCCCGAGAGGTTAAATCATTTGCTAGTATGTGCATTCGGCCTGTGATTTGAGCATTACCCTTGACTACCAACCATCCACAGACAACGATGGGACTGGCCCCACCTCAGGAGCTTACTCTTTACAATTTGGAAGTTTTGTATCTGTGTGTTTACTTGTTTAACGTCTGTTTCCCCAACAGACTAAAATCTCCAATGTTACATTTTCGATGAGAGAGAGAGAGAGAGAGAACGCTCGAAAATGGATGCTGCTTAAGGAAGGACTCGCTCTGCCAGCATCTGCCTGCTGGGCCCAGATGGCTCCTCCCAACTGGGTCATTCCTGCCGCTGAGGCCTGAGAATAACCAGGCCCCTGGCCATCCTGCTCCCTGCCCTGAACTCAGCTCAGAGCCTTCCTCATCTCTCTCAACTACCTGCTCGCCGGGAAGGTGATGGGAATTGCAGCTCTATAAATTCCACCTGACACAGAGTCCTCCCCAAACAGCGAAGTGTCCTCCTCTGGGAAGTCCTCCCTGCCACCTGGCACACCCCCCCTCCTGGCATCACCAGCTAGACTTCAATCAACTTCCTACTGAGTCACTTGTTCACAAGGCTACCAAGAAGACAGGCAAATGGACTCAGGCTGATGCAGCCTCTTCCGCCCATCACCCCACTTCACTCCTGCAACACTGTTATTACCATTACCAGGCCCATTTACAAGTGGAAAGGTGGAGCCACTTGCTCAAGGGGCAACTCACATGGTCTCCCCTGCCCAGGGGGTTGCCACTGTGTGCCAGGCATGCTGCTAGGCACTCTGGGGGGAGGGGAGGGTTGGGGTGGCATAGAATCTAGTTCTGACTGGCTGGCAAGGAAAGCAGACCTACACAGCCCCAATCCCCAGACCACAGTCAGTGAGTGAGGGCTATGGATCTGCAGAGGAGGAGGGTGGGATTCCACTTGCGAGGGAGGAGTCCTGCAAGCTTCTAGGAGGAGGCACCTTGGGGCCTGGCTAGATTCCTCTGCTCCACTCCCAGGACCACCGAAACAGGAGCCAGGGCAGGCCTCAGCCTACAGAGCTCTGGTGCCCAGTGGGTACTTGCCACCGCCCTGGAGGCTGCAAAGGGAGGAGCAGCGGCTGCCCTGCCAGCTGTCCCGCCAATGACCCCACTGTGGCCGGGCCAGCCTGCCTCTGGCACTGCCAACCTGGCCTGGCCCAGCTGCTCCCAATTCGCAAGGTCTTCTCTGCCCTGCTAATGACCGTGCCGCCAGCAGCACAAGGCACCACCCTTCTTCGGGAAAGGCAGCAGCTAACTACAGAGCCTGCTGTCCCGGCAGCAGCCAGGCCAAGAATCACAGCCGCCCAGCACACCACATCCTCTGGCCCTGATGCTGTGGTCTCCTCTGCCTCCAGGGTCACGAAGGACACTGCAGAAGCTGGAGCGCCGGGAGCTCGGACACCACCCCACTCACCTGCGGGAGAACGGGACCACGGAGCCAGGCTGATTCGACATGTCACACATGTCCGGGGCCCGGGGCCCTGGGTGCCCAGCCCAGGGTTCCTTCCTTAGCTTTGAAAAGAAGGCTCATTTCCAAGCTTTTTACATGCGAAGTATGCTCTCAAGGTACTTGGCCCCAGTTGAGGAGACGGGGCTATCTTCTAAAAGCTGTCAAGCTGTCTGTTTAGTCCCAGATAGGAGCACAGGTTTGACTCCTCACGCCCCTCAGTCTGACCTGTGTGACCTTGAGCAAGACAATGCACCACTCTGAGCCCCCGTTTCTGGAGACCACAGCAGTCACCTCCCCGAGTTGTGAATGAGTGTGTCCGGAAAGCGCTTAGCAGTGTCTGGCTCATAATAAGTACTCAGAGCTGTAGCTACTGTTAATATCATCATCACAGTGTTACTAATGAGTATGTGAATGCATTCTACAAACTGTAAAAGGTGGTGCAATGGTAGGTACTGTTTATTACTATTACTATGAAGTGGTAAAGATTCAGAGGGCTGTGAGCAGTGGGTTGGATAATCCAGGGATGTTTATGACTGGAGTCGGGCCTCAACAGATGGGGAGATGAGCAGAGAAGAGGCAGGGATGGCAGCTCCGACAGGAGGAGCCCCACAAGCATAGACGCAGTGATGAGGCTACATCTGGTGTGTTTGGGAGACAGTGATGAGCAATGAGCCAGGGTCCATGCAGTGGCTATAGTGGGCAAGGCCTTGAAGACGCAACAAAGGAGACTGGTCCCCAACTTACAGACCGAAAGGAGCCACAGAGGGTTCTGAGTGGGCACTCCATGATGCCTTTTTTTCTTTCTTTTCTTTTGTAATCCTCACCCGAGAATATTTTTCCATTGATTTTTTAGATAAGAGTGGAAGGGAGGGGGAGAGACACAGAGAGAGAAACATCAAGGTGAGAGAGACACATCAATTGGTTGCCTCCCGCACGAGCCCGGACCAGCCAGGGATTGAGCCTACACCCGAGGTACATGCCCTTCACCAGAATTGAACCCGGGACACTTCAGTCTACAGGCTGTCACTTTGTCCACTGAGCCAAGCTGGCTATGGCTCCCTACTGCTTTCTGAAATGTGAATTCTGTCTGACATTCAAGGCCCTCTGGCATCCGGTTACCCTCCCTCTTCTCCACACCCTTCACTGACACCATAAACCCAGTATCAGGACCTCAGAGTTCAACCCACTTCTCTGCTTCTACCCTATCCCACCTCCCCTGCCATTAGCCCACCCCAAGGTTCACGTTCACAATGAAGCACCCTTTCACTAAGTACCTATGGTACCACGTGCTTTATATCTGTGGCCTCACAGACACCCATAACTAACCCTAATTCTACAGAGGAGCAAATGGAGGCCTGGCAGGGCCAGGTGTCTGGCTTGGTCTCACAGTGAGTAAGTAGCACAGCCAGGATTCAACCTTCAGCTGATGTCAGGACCCCTGCTCTCTACACCAATTTGCCTCTAGCCCCAACCCAGACACCTTCCTCCTTGATGAAGCCTTCCCGGGTTACTCATTGTCATGGGCCTCTCCCTGCCATTTCTCATCACCCATTGGAATCAGAGGCCCACAGCTTGACCCTAGCCCAGCTAGCCTGGTTTCCACTGGAGAGGGTCCGGGTTGATAACAGGTCACTTTCTTCCTGTCCTGCCTCCCTCCCCCCACATCCAAGACTTCATATAGCACTAACGGGAACAACCCCCTCCTCTGGGGTGAGCTCAGAAGCTCATCTGGGCACAGAGCAATTTCTCTGAGCCTGCCTCTCGGTGTGAGGGGACCCATAAATTATTCACTGCACCTTTGTGCCTAAGGGAGGCCAGACAAAGAGCCAGAGGGAATGAGTCCCAGCTCCCACAACCCTGGCCCTGGGGTGGGGGTGGGGGTCAGAATCCAGGGTCCCCAAGCAGGTTCCAGAGGACTCTGAGACCAGGAAGGTGGCACCGGAGAGCAAGCCTGAGAATGTTCCCAGATTTCCTGGTCAAAATTCAAGCTTCCTTCCTTATAGGGAAGGAAACAGACATTTTGCCAAGCGCTATATATTTATATCTCACTTAATCCTCACACAACTTCATGGAGGAGGAATTCTAATTTACAGAGCAGAAGCTGGGGCTCCGAGGAGTGGATTTGCCCAATGCCACATGGCCAGTGGGAGGCAGAGCGCACTCACGCCCACCTGGTCTGTCTCACCACTATCTGTCTGTGCCACTTCGCCCACCCGGTTGTGAGCTAGTCATCACACTGCCTTTTCCATCTGGGTAACTTCCAGGGCACCTGGTATGCAGTTGGCACTCAGTCACTGAAGCAAACCCAAAGGCCCTGGACAAGTGGTTTCGCCTCTCTGAGCCTCAGTTCCCCACTCAATGTAGCCATTAATAACAATCCTAGCCATGGCAAACACACACATACACATGCACGCACAGGCGCGCGCACACACACACAACCTCTTTAGCACTTGACAGTCTGCCAGATATCATGGCCTCATTATCTGAACAGATAACGCCAGCCTGCCTTGACCCTATTTTACAGGTGAGGCTGGGAAGCCATGGATGCATCTGAGAGGTCCCACGTGGTTCCCTAACCCTGTTCACCTCATTCCAGGTTCTTTCCATCACACCGTGAAATGAGATCACGGGTGTGAAATGAAGTCATTAACAAGGAGCTTTGTTTAGAGGCAGGATTATTAGGAGAATTTGAATCTCCAAAGATTGGGGGGGAATCCCAAGCCCCTCCGTCACCTCCTCTTGCAGACCCCCAGGGACTGAGCTTCCAGCCTTTCACTGACCTCTCTACTCTCCTCCACCTCCCAGGGGCGTTCCCAGGTGGCTTCCTCTACACTCCAGGAAGCTGGGCACAGCAGGGGTTAAACAGTCCCAGCCAAGGCCACAGGGCTCAGACCAAGGCCATGTCCCCTCCCCCACCCACCCAAACAAGAGCCCACAGAATCCACGCCAAGCCCTCTTTCACAACACCCCTCTCCCTGCACTGCCCTGGGGGTGGGGAGGGTGGGGAGCAGAAGGAACCCCTGCCTGGAAATCCAGACACCTGGGACACTGCCCTCAGCACCGGCAGCCCCAGCCTTGAGCCCTGGAACAAGCCCTCCCCGCCAGGGTCAGAGGTGTCTCGCAGGGCCCCCTGCCAGGAGAGGCTAAGGTCAGATCTTTAGTCTGGGCCAAAGGCTAGGAGGCTGCTGGCATGCCTAGGGCCCCTGCACCAACCACACAGACTCTCACCACAGCGTCATATGTGGTCACTCTGACCTCACATCAGAGTAGGAAAAACGCCAGCCACCCACCCAGGACATGCTCACTGGGGCGGGGGAGGGGGTACCTTGCAGGGTATTTGGGAAGGTTTCCTCATTCGGACTTGGGGCTCACTCACTCACTCACTCACTGCTCTAGGACCGGGGGCAGCTGGCACACACACTCCATCCTACCTTCACCCCACAGCCTCCCCCACACACCGTGTCAGTCATGTGAAGGGTGTGAGCTGGGTGAGAGCTGAGGGGCCTCACCTTCTCCGGCTCTGATGGGCTCTGACTGGGGCACCCCCACAGTGAGTCTCCCCAACACATAAGCTCGGCCTCAGGACCTGCAGGGTGCCTTCGAGACCCTGGAGGCTGGGGCAGGGGAGAGAGGCCCACAGAGGGGAAGCTGTGAGGGTGGGAAGTTTCCCACCTCTGCCCTTAACTCCTTGTCCTGGGAGGTGGCTGGGCCATAGATGGGAGGGAAGGAAGCCAGCAGACCTACCTCCTCGGCCTCAGGATCAGCTCTAGGGTGTCCCAAACGGCCCCAGGATCAGCTCTAGGGTGTCTCAAACGGCCCCACCTTGACCGCTTCCACCGTCCTGCCCGCGGCTATCCACTTCCTTTCTTTTCCTCCTCACTTTCTGCTTCTTTCCACCTCGACCTAACCCTCCTCCCAGTCTCACCCCCAGAGTGAAAACAGCAGGGTCACGCAACCCCATTGAGCCTCAGTTTCCCGATCTGTAAGCCCCTGTAACACTACACCATACCTTTTATCTCAGTGAGGCTTAATGAGGGACCACTTGCGCAAGGGTGGAGCGCGGACACGCACACAATGGGCGCTCAATAAGTGCCCGTTTTCTCCCTCCCTCCTCCCTTCCGCGCCCCTCCAGCCTCAGCTAGTGCCGGGCACACGCCCGCAGCTGGCCCGTCGCCGCCCCGATGGGTTGGGAAGCCGCTTAGCCCGGCATCCCGGAGGCTCTCACCT